CAGGATCTTAATTTGCTTTGGTTATATTCCTACCTCAACATACTTCAGAATTTTGTTTTTTCTTTCTCATTTTCCGAAACTCTAAATATTGCATTGACTTGGGTCTTAGTCCTTGAAACTTTTCTAACTCATTTCCAATTGTTATTTGGTATCATGTCCCCAATATCTTATACTTCTTAATGAATTCCAAATATATATCACGGACCTGCTTACATTCCTCCTTGGATGTGTAATGGGCATCTCAAAACATGACCCACAGTGAATCCCAGGGCATTTCGCATTCTGTTTTCTCTTGCTATATTCCTCCCAAGATAAATGCATAGCTTATTCTTCCACTTTCTTTAGATCTCTAAACAAATGTCACCTTCTCTAGGAAACTTTCCCAGGTCACCTTATATGAAATAACACCATCCCAACCATCTACCTTGGTAGTACTTCCTGTTTTACCTGAGTTTATATTTCTTCTAAACAATTATCACCAACTGACATATTAGATATGCATTTGCTTATTTTATATTTCCTCCAACTAAAATGTAAGTTCCATGGAGGCAGGGTCTTTGATTCCTGCTGTATTATTAGTGCTTCACACAGTGCCTGCATAGTACTTAGAACTTAATAAATATTTGTCAAATCAATGACTAAATATGTAAATGATCTTTTCTATGGTTCTAGCTAGCTATCTGTCATCTATTAGGTTACTACACTTTACAAGCTATACTGATTTGGGACTGGAATATAAAAGTGGAGAGAAAATAAAAAGGAGAACATTTCTGGATACCTTAAACATAAAACTTAACTTTATTAGCACAACCTGTAATTTAAAAACAAGGCAACATCCTAGGATATTGAGAAACAGATTGTAAAAACCCAAATAAACAACCATATTTTCAGAGATCAAGGAAAAAAAATCTGTGCAGGTAGGTTAGTGGGAAATAATCACATGAATAGAGCAAAGAGCTTAGCAAAAGAAATCAATTAAGATACTGGTTGAAACTGATAGTATAGGTGCTATAGGAGACATAAAATTAGTTTTAATACAAGAGCTGATCTAAGGGTTTTCCCATAGAGAAGACAATAGAGCATATAAAGAAGTTTGAGTTCCATAAGACACTGGAGAGCATAGTGGTTACAGTGCATTCTATTTTTTGGGATTTAGACACAATCTGAGTTTAGATCTAGCATTCTCTGTTAATAGGTATAAGAACTTCAAATTATTATTTAACTGCTCTAGACCTCAAATTGTTGATTTGTAAAATGGGACTAGACAATAACTATGGCATTTAATGGTTATAAGAATCAAATTATGGTTTTAGGTCTAACATTTAAGTCTTTAATCCATCTTGAATAAATTTTAAATGTTAGACCTAAAACCATAAAAACCCTAGAAGAAAACCTAGGTGATACCATTCAGGACATAGGCATGGGCAAGGACTTCATGACTAAAACACCCAAAGCAATAGCAACAAAAGCCAAAATGGACAAATGCGATCTAATTCAACTAAAGAGCTTCTGCACAGCAAAAGAAACTACCATCAGAGTGAACAGGCAACCTACAGAATGGGAGAAAATTTTTGCAATCTATTCATCTGACAAAGGACTAACATCCAGAATATACAAAGAACTTAAACAAATTTATAAGAAAAAAATCAAACAACCCCATCAAAAAGTGGGCTAAAGATATGAACAGACACTTTTCAAAGGAAGACATTTATGCAGCCAATAGACACATGAAAACATGCTCATCATCACTGGTCATTAGAGAAATGCAAATCAAAACCACAATGAGATACCATCTCACACCAGTTAGAATGGCAATCATTAAAAAGTCAGGAAACAACAGATGCTGGAGAGGATGTGGAGAAATAGGAACGCTTTTACACTGTTGGTGGGACTGTAAACTAGTTCAACCATTGTGGAAGACAGTGTGGCGATTCCTCAAGGATCTAGAACTAGAAATACCATTTGACCCAGCCATCCCATTACTGGGTATATACCCAAAGGATTATAAATCATGCTACTGTAAAGATACATGCACATATATGTTTATTGCAGCACTATTCACAGTAGCAAACACTTGGAACCAACCCAAATGTCCATCAATGATAGACTGGATTAAGAAAATGTGGCACATATACACCATGGAATACTACGCAGCCATAAAAAGGGTGAGTTCATGTTCTTTGTAGTGACATGGATGCAGCTGGAAACCACCATTCTCAGCAAACTGTCTCAAGGTCAGAAAACCAAACACTGCATGTTCTCACTCATAGGTGGGAATTGAACAATGAGAACACTTGGACAAAGGGCGGGGAACATCACACACTGAGATCTGTTGTTGGGTGGGAGGATGGGGAAGGGATAGCATTAGGAGAAATACCTAATGTAAATGATGAGTTAACGGGTGCAGCAAACCAACACGGCACATGTATACATATGTAACAAACCTGCAGGTTGTGCACATGTACCCTAGAACCTAAAGTATAATAAAAGAAAAAGAATCAAATTACATCATAAAAATAAATAATTTAACACACTATATGGAAGATATTTAGAGGTCAAAACATTGTAGAATGGCACTAGCAAAATTTAATTGCAATGTGATATATTAAAATAATATCTTTTTTTAAAAAATTAAGATCTACCTTTTGCAAAATGTCAGGCAGTCATTACTGCAATAAATTTCAAAATTACTCCAAGGTAATAAGAACATCACTATCCAGAGCTATAAACTGTCCTGTGTAGCTTGGGGTATTTCATAAGCAATGGGCTCTAATAAGGAAATCTTGCTCTTATTTCCTATTAGCTGTGTCTCAGTTTGAGCCTACCTATGTAAGCTGACCCAATTCATTATTTTTTTTTATTGTACTTTAAGTTCTAGGGTACAGGTGCACAACATGCAGGTTTGTTACATATGTATACTTGTGCCATGTTGGTGTGCTGCACCCATCAACTCGTCAGCACCCTAAAAGCTTGTAAAATAGTAATTATGGAAAAGAATCTACAATTTAACAGAATCATGTGTGTAGTTGATCATCTACTGAGTTTTTACAGCAGGAATGCTTTATAGAAGATGAACATTTTGGATGAACTGATCCATTGATCAGTTCTATCAGTTCTCTATATCTCATGAACTGAAACTGTCTCCTGTGCAATGCTCCAGTGACAGTGAACACAGACAGCCTACTTTGTTGCCTAAAATAATGGTAACTTCAGCCTGTAAAAGTGTCTGCCCACAAACCCAAACCTTTGTACCTCAGAAACTTTCATTTTACCATGAATATTTAAGGAAGAAGATTGTGACCAGACTTTTGATTATCTAAAGATTCGGAGGTGAAAGCAGAGTGAAGGAGGTTAGTAGATGAGGTCAGAGAGGTACTGGAGACAGACCTTACAGAACTAATGTCATAATTGTCACACATGATATGGAGTTCCAAGGATCCATGGCTGTGCCACATGTAAACCCTTTGGCATTAGATCACACATAGCAACACCAGTTCCTTTCAAGCTCCACTATTGCCAGATGAGTATTACAGTCCATACAGCCTTTTACACATCACATTTTATGCAGCTCCAACTCCATACATTCACTCATTTTAATTCTAAATCTGTTCACTGGGTATTTCACTTACTCTGTGCCAGTCCCTAGGCTAGATGCTGGAGAAACTCACTCTGCCCTCGTGCAGCTTACACACTGGTGGGTGAAACTGATCAAAAGCAATTAATAAATAAGTGCAAAACTCTTTTAATAAGAACCACAAAGCAAAGACAGCATTCAACACATTATAATGTCATATGCTTTATTCCTTATAATGGATCTTAATTATGCTGAGTTACCCAAAACAGCATTATCCTCAACAAAGCCAGACTCCTTTGAGACATTCACAAAAACTGTGGCTGGGTGAAATAGGCTATGTTTCAGTGATACTTAACCAATTTACTCTCAGTGTGGTTATCGGTTTATTCCTGAAGTACAATGTGTATATGTGTGTGTGTGAGGAGGAGGTGAGAGGAGATGGGCAGATAGGGGATGGCCAGCAGGAAAGAAAAAAAAGGGGTTAATAGAGCTTAAACTCTTCCATCAGTTAAGAAGGTAATTTTGCTTCATCCTTTAGAATTTATGGACTTAATACTACTGTCTTCTCTGAGTAATTACTGACTATTGGAATATTAATAGATAAACACTGCTTTACCATTATACATTTTCCCTTTTCTTCCAGTTTATGTAGAAATGTACTCTCTTAATTTTTGTTCCTATAAAAGATACTTTTAAAATTTTATTTTTAGGGTTAAAATATATAGTTCCTCCTCCACAATTACACGTTCATATATAGCTTTTATCACATTTTTACCCATTTCCATGTAAGAAAATACAGTTGGCCCTCCCTGTTTGTAGTTTCCACATCCAGGGATCCAACCAACCACAGATACAAAAAACATTTTTAAAAAACAACAATACAACAATATAAATAATACAAATAATAAAATAACATAGTATAATAATTAAATAGCATTTAAAATGTATCAGGTTCTGTAAGTAATCTAGGGATGATTTAAAGTATTTGAGAGGATGTGGGTAGGTTATATGCAAATACTACATTATTTTTCATAAGGGACTTTAGCAGCTGGGAGTTTTGGTATCTGCTCAGGGAACGACATGTGGGTACTGAAACCAATTCCTGCAGATATGGAGAGAAAACTATATGGGATTTAAAACAGAAGCATTGAACTGACATAATAAAAATGCTTCCCTGACATCAATGTAATTTTCAAAGTAGAAATTATTAGGTCTTTCTTTATTGACTTTGACTAAATGCTCACATCTTATTTCTATCACTTCCAAGGTATAAGAAAAAAAATGCACAAACCTTTTCTTAAAAAATCCTTCTTTTATATATTGGGGTATTTTTTATCCACAAACCGTAAAATAAAGTTACCTTTTCCTACCAGTCAATACTTCTAAACAATGAATGAACGCACAAAAACCCCACCTGGATCTTTACCTGCATCTCCTGACAAAAAGAAGCCAAAGGCCCAAAAAGGATCTGGCATTGTTCATCAGCAGTGTATGTCATCCCTGGCAGCTTGGAGGGAACCATCACAGAATTGACACTCTGCGGATTTGTTTGTAGCAAGCAGTTACTGGCCTTTGACCTGGCAGTAGGTAGGTATGTGTAAAATTTTGAATTTAATGTAAAAAACTGATATGATTAGTTAGCATATAACAATAAACACTTTTATAATATCAAAAATATACTTTTACTCTTTTTGCTCTTCCATTGAATATTCATAGAAATTATTCTATATGTCAAAAATCATTTATTTACAATGAAGATAATCGTAATAAATAATTTTCAAATTAAAAGAACTTTATGGTGTAAAAAACACATTCATAAGACTTAACTCAGCTGATCTACATAACACTGTGAGTTCAGTGTTATTTTATGCATTTAATACGTATACAAGCTCAGAATCAGAGAGTAACTTGCCCAAAAGTAGTATGTGAATGTAAGATATCAGCTATATTTTGGGGATTTAAAGAATGTATGGAAAGCATCCTCAGCTGAATATTAACAGTGTAGATATATTTGTGCTTGACATTGTAATACAACTTTGTATACAACTCTGTAATATATTTTAAAGTGGTATTTTATGTCATAGGAGTCCTGAGTCATGTGAAGGCAGCCGTACAAAATCATGCATGTTTCTTAGGAACTCATTAGGGCCTACAGTAGGGCTGCTGATGCAACTACTGATGGTGTGTCTGAAATATCACATGCTCTGAGTGCTTTTCTCTAGACTGTTACGACAAAGAGCATGCACAGCATATATTGTACATATTTTAGAGCAAAGCTATGGAATGTGAGAAACATTATAGTTTGATAGATTTCGTAGCCATTTGATAGAAAAATTGGCTTAACTATTTAAAGGATATAGAAAAGTGAATAAAGTTCATCTGTGCAGTGAGTTTAGCAAGTTAGGTGTTCCTGTATTTCTCATTAAGACTTGTTTTGGATACCTTTAGCATCTCACTAACTACTTTGCATATTTCTTACTGCTTCAGGTGATCCTTCTATAATTATAGAAATAAGGGCTTTAAAAATGAACAAGTGCTTTAGAATGAAAATGAGAGCAACAGTAATATTTTTCATTTACTTTTCCAACAAGACAGAAGCTAAGTGTTACTGCCACTGAATGTGGAAAAGAAGAGACTCAAGGGCTATGATAATGGTGAAAACTATTTATTAATGAAAAAATAGTTGAAGCGTATTACAAACGAAAAGTGAAGATTTTGTTAGAGGGGCTCTGATCTTCATGATAACAGATGTGCTGGGTGATGAACAGTGTGAATATTTCCACTGGGAATAATTGAAGAGGCAATTAAATGCTGTGACAGATTTTTTAAATCATTATAGCAATTTTTCAATCTTGCAAATAATCTTAACTGTCCTTTTTGAAAAATGTAGAAATTAAAAAGCAGGGGGTTAAATAACATGTCCCAAACTACACCATGAGTCAATGGAAAAGTCAGGATTGGAACCAAGTGCCTTCATTTTTACTCTAGTGGCCTTTCCACTTTGCCACACTGGCTTCTCTATTTGTAAAAAGTAACAGCACACATAAAACATTCACAAGGCAAAAACAATAAGTGACCTCCATACCTGAGAAATCTTTCCAAATCTTCCTTGCTACATCGAGACCATGAAACATCACCAAGATTCTGTCCTTTAATCCATTCACCAGACATGATATGAAGACCATCAGCACACGATGGGTGGTCGTTGTCATGGTTAATGCCCATGCTGATTTGGAATATAATAAAATTTTAAAATTTACACTAAGTAAATGTTACTTGTTAACTTTTTGTAACTGCAGTTAAATAATGATTAAAACACTTAAAATACTGGGAGCCAAATTTGTTTTAAGGAAATTAGATTCAAAATAAAATTAGATTTCAGATTAAGTTACTTTTTAAATTTTGTTACCCCAATTTAAGGTAAATATTTTTATTTAATAAAAAAAATTTCCCTAATCAACCTACAAAATGACATGTTTAGGTCCTTCAAACTGAAATGATCTATAGATATATTCTTTGCATAGTAGTATGTATGAAACTCAGAAATAATACATTTATATTTAACCATACTAGATTCTTCTTGTTGCCTGAATCAAATTTTCTTCAAAATTTGATTTGAATACACATCTTTTATCAAATTTGAAACCTCATTAATCTATTCATTTCCTATGTCTTCACCATGCACTTCATTAGACCATCCTCTTCCTCCCACATCATATAACACAAATTATCCTGGCCATCTTTATCTTTTTGAATGAATCCTGCATCTGTTGAAATTGTATTCTAAAAGTTGGACTTATTTCTAAATAGATGTTCTAGAAATACCTTAAATTTAGTATGTCTACAGACTGCCTTTCTTACTTTCTCTTTCAATTCTCTATTTACTCCTCTATTCTATTTTTTTCTTGCTCTCTTTTTATGCTTTTGCTAGCTAGTAAGTTCTGCCAAATAAAGAATCTTCAAGTCATCATTTATTTTTTTCCTTTCCTGAATTATCGCATAGGCTCTATTTTATTTATTGTTAGAGGCAAGCCCTGCCAACTCTACCTTCTAAGTATTTCACTCAACTGTCATCTCCATTCTATCCTATAGTTACTATTTAAATTATTGTATTGTATCCTTATTATAGTATATACAAAGTCTTGAGTTGTTATGGTATTGTACCTGGGTTCTGTCCCTCTAATCTTTACCAACATTCTCCCTTCCCCTTCTCCTACACTGCCCCAGTGAGATCTATTTAAAACACAATCTGCCTATGCCATTCCTATGTTTTCTCATTATCCATATGGCAATTTCCAGCTCTTTAACATGATACATAGCCCCTTCATATTCTTCTACATTATTATTAGATTTTTTCTTCAGCAATACCAAATGACTTGTAATTTCCCAAACATTATATTGTTTCTTATTTTCTTGCAGTTAATTGTTACTTAGCATTTTCTAGGTATCATAAATCATATAAGGGAATTTATAAACTTGTGTTAAACAACAAAATGTAGTAGAAATGATTATAATATGCATTTTGCAGATGAGAAGTAACTTGTCCAAGATTACACAATGAGAAATTGGAAAGTAATAATGTTTGAACTGAGCTCCAGAAGTCATGTGATTAACCATTCCACATTGGGCATCTATAAATTCCATCCTCCAACCCCATATGCTGTCTACAGTGCCTCTCCTTCAGCTTCTTTGCCTGGACAAACTCAAATTCTACTTAATCATCAACATTAATGTGGTTTACTTTTATCAGGTTTTCTTTCACTATCCCCTACCTCACCCATTTGTACTATCTCTTCTGGGAACAACACAGGATTCTGTGAACAACATTGTTACAGCATTTCCTATATTGCATTATACATTTTTACTTCTGGTTCATTCTCCAAATTCTTGAGACTCTGTAACCAATGTTGAATCATGGGTTCAATGATCATGTAGAAAAAAAATTATATAGTCTCTTGTGAATTCTCATAATGAGGCCAGTAAAATAATTTTTGTGGATGAGAGTTAGTACTAAAGAAGCAGAGAAGAGTCCATTTGTGTACATGCATAGCCTGAGATAATAGCAGGATAGTCCACTGTTCTCTTTTCTTCTTCTGTTATGGTCTAGATAATAAATAAAATTGTTTTCATAATGAAAAATTCACAAGAATATCTATATTGTGTTTTAAAACACGAAATTAGAAGAACTGTTGCAGAAATTGCTAAGGGAAGTTACAATTAGAGTACCTATGTTTCCTCAAATCAAAATAAAATTTTTAAAAACTACCAAACTATATTTTTAAGATGAATTATAAGTTTGAATCAAAATTGTTACAATTAAATATGTTTTTGAAGAAAATATGAAAGGAATAAATAAATTCCATCCATATCATTAATGAATTAAGACTAATTATATCACCATGCTAACTTTAACTATAAAAATTATGGTATAAATAAAACTGAAATACATTATTGAATATTACTTTACACTTTTGGTGTTAGAAAAATTCACCAGTGAGTCATATTTTTCTTTCCTATTCTAATAAATTTCTTCAAATAGGGTCTGTAGCAACACATATTAATAGAATAAATAACAGAGAAAATAGGAAGATAAATGTTTTCATACTTAGAAGATAAAGAGGAAAAATAAGAGAGTATATGGAATAGCTATGAACCAGTTCAATTAAAATATTAGAAGGCAGAGTAAAAAGATGTTGAAATTAGAAAGTAACTTAATCTCTGTATCTTCCCCTTATTTCACCAAAGGCAAGTTAAAAAACAATAAATAAACATGCCTTAGTTGCCTTATTTGCTAAATATACTTTCTTGACTGATTTGTTGTGATGACTGCATAAGCATGATATGTAGTACCTGAACAATGCCTGGAATACAGACAGAATCCATAATGATCCTTTATACCGGGGAAATAAATCAGAGCAATTTTATTATATCATTCTAATCTGTCAAAAGATACATAAACAGATTTATCATTAATTACATTAAATTCACTCTACTGTATTTGCTTTCTTTGGTGAAAGTGTGCGCTTCAGAAAAACCAAGAAAATAACAATCAAAAGAATTTACTTAGATATTAAGTTAAAATAAGAAATTATAAATATGGCACAATATCACAAATCAGTAAAAGTGGCTTAATTTAATTCTAACTGTGTGGTTCAAATGCAGCCCATCAGTGTCCTGTCTCCTCTCTACCATGGATTCTGGCTACAGCACACATCACTGGGTGACCTGTTAATTAACAACCACTTGCCATTTGGAACGTGCTTGACTCTTCCATCTGTGGTGGCATAATCTTTCAAACCATACACAAATGCTATTATTTTTGAAAGGTAACTAGTCTTTCTCAGAAATAATAAACCCTCCTAAATAATGTGTTCCTATGAGGGAAGGAGAGGGATTGCTTCCAAGATTTGGCAATTTGGACATTTTCCCAATATCGTGTAATAGGATTTTCTAAATATGGAGGATTACAAACTCTTATCCAGATAATAATTTTCCTTTTGGGATCCTGGTCCTGATTCTGATATAAGAAATTAGCTTCAGCCATGGGGAGGTCTGGTGATTCAAGCATTGTTTACCAGTAGTTAAATTTTCCTGAAGCCATTTAACTCATAACAGAAAAAATTATCATTAAATTGGGACAGGTTTTTTTAACCACACATCTGGAATAATCAGGAAACACTGCTTAGTCTTGACTCTATAGGTTTGAAATAAAACAATTGTGCACCTTAATCTGTGCCAGCTACTCTATTAACCACTGACAATGATGATATCACTTATTACTCACAATATTCCCATAATGTTTCTATTATTATGACTTCTATTTTACAAATGAGGAAGGTGCTGAGGTTAATGGTGAAGCTGTGACTCAAACCCGGGCAGTCTGATGCTCACACAGATGAACCTCTGAACTATCACACAATAGTGCTTTTCTTTCTGGATCAAAACTCTCCACTTTTGGAGATGATTTATTGTTTTCCGAACAATTTTAAATGCCTCTGTTCTTTTAGCAGAAATGCACCTCTACATGTAGAACCTTATAACCAAGTTACATGCATTGCATGGAAAACATTCTCTAAGTAAGACATTAGCAACACCTCTACTCACACTGCAATTGAACTACATTTTAATAATCTCAGTTTAAATTCATTTTGACAAAGAGCCTTGGGCAAATAAACTCTTCACTAACATTGTACATGGTTGTCAAGTCAACTGAAAAAATATTTTTATCATATAAAACTTCTCAACTTGTTTCAAAGTCTTTGCCAGGAAGTTTTGTGATATCCTGTGGAAAGCTGGAGAAGCATTTGGATTTTGAAGATGGTCCCTTTTGATGTTTAAAGAATTAGAGAGGAGAAGCCTTATGAATTCACTCACCTTTTTTGGATAATTTGGAAAGGATCTGATTTGTAAACAGTAATATTTTAAAAGAGTAGGCTTTTTGTGCTGAATACATTAAGCATTTTTATGACATAGTATTTCCCACTAAAGCCATATATTATGTGGAAACATTAATAAAAGAAAGAAACAAACTATTACAATGTCTTACTGGAAGTAGATTATATTTATACAAAATGACATTTAATTTCATATTTCTTAGAATTCAGTGGGTATATCTAATTCAATATAATTTCACTATTGTGTGTTCACGGAGAAAAAATTTAGACATTAAGATATACAATACATTTTTGTATCATATTTCTTTTAATATTTTAACTCATTTCAATTTGCACAAACAATGAAACCTACTTTTATTAGCAAGTCAAAAGGCTATATAAAAGCAAGGTAAAAAATAAGAGGTTAAAAGAAGAAAAGTAGAGGTACAAAAAGAGATTCCTTTTGACTTTGTTGTGCATTATATTACAGGTTTATCTAACAATGCATATACACTTGTTGAGAACCCACTACTGTGCTGAGCTGGAGTCACAAAGATAAATAAGACTCAGTTCCTACACTCAAAGAGTGTATTATCTACTAGGATTGGAACACTGTCCCTTGCTCTTGTGTAGCAAATGAATGTCTGGATCCTGTTTGCCCTATATTCCTTAAACCTCTACCGCTTATCTGCCCCTTTTCAATTCTATTGCTATCAACCAAAATTGGTGCTGATTCTTTTTACTTCTGGATTATTGTAATGCCTGCCTGACTGTCCTCCTGCTCTTCACCTCTTTGCCTCTTAAACCATGCTTTAATGGTGCTAGTTTCTTATGAGTGTACTAATATAAAAAA